GTTGGCTTCTACATTCGGGCATGCTGACGGGTTGGAATCCAGAAAAAGATAGTAACCGCTAATTCACATTTGCCAGAAGCCCAACGTTTCCTCAGCGCAACCGACAAAAAAACTGGAAGAAAATATTTGACTTGTGATTCATAGGGTTAGCGTAATGTTCTGGCGTGGCCACAGGGTGTCCGAAAGGTACGGTCGCGCCATTCGACGCGAGCACCCCGTTAAGCTGCAGTTGGAATAGATCCACCTTATCGCTGATTATCCAGTGTCGCAATCAGCCACATGGTGTATACCCTCCGTGTTGTCGATGCCCATGGCAGCTGTGGGACCACAACAGCAGATGGCCATGTTATCAGGGTTCTCCCTCCTTAACTGCGTTGAGTGTAGCAACTTACTCCAATTGTTGCTGTATAAAGTCTTGGTCAAACCTTTCAACTGACATGTAGTGCCCTCTGTAGCTGCCGTCGTAGAAGTAGTTTAATTGTCTGATTGATGTATGTATTTTTTGAAGTATTTGGCTGATAATTGCAGATTTCGTTTCTTGTCTAATTTATTGCCATACATATTCGTTTGCGTTTATTTGTTTGACTTATACTGTTATTGGAGTACCGTTTATTTCCACAATGAAATTACCACCGTTTTCTCGGTTGTATGTTATTCATCTCTCTTGATTGAAGATCTCAAGATGAAGGTGTCTCTTAACGGGTAATTGCTTGTTTGCTTTGCCTTAATATCTGAGTTCCACGAGTTCTAATCAGAGTAAAACAGTCAACTATACTAATGTACCGCTTCACCGTCGATCGAGAATTGACTGTAGTTGTGAAGACACTGCCCTAGCAGAAAAATGCAATGATTGACGTTATGTTAAAATGATAGCAGAATTTATGGGTATTCAGGCATTCAGCCTTAACGTCCACATCGTGGAGACAGCAAAGACTAAAGTAGGGGTGCAGCAAGACGCTTGCTTTTAAAGCCGTTTTTAAAATAATCTGAATTGACTAGTTTGATCGAGGAACAAACTGTCGTCCGATACAATAATATTAAGCTACTTCTTTAGCATATTACGGATGGAGGCTGTGGAACCAACAATCGGATTTTCGTATCGGATGAAAAGAAAAGATGACACCTGGCGTGAGTTGTTTTATGACGTTTGCTCATTTGTTTGAGATGTTATGTTTTGTCTTTAACAAATTATATCATGATCTCGGTTACATGGTTTAGATTACGCAGAAATTATCGAAAGCAGATTGAACAAACAGGCGAATGATAGAGTAGAGTATTACGTTCATTATGAAGGACGTAAGTCGGGGAAGAAGTGGTTTGTGAAAGCTGAGGTTTTGTTTTGTTCTTAAGTCAACCGACGGTTGGACGAATGGGTCACTGCCGACAGGATCGACTTGCTGAGCTGCAGTCCGTCCAGTGAGCAGCAAAAGCAGATGTTTGACCTACTTTCCAATTCACCGGACAGCAACGAAGAAGAGACGAGAAAAATAACGCGCAATCAGAAGCGAAAGCATGACGAAATCAATCACGTGCAACAGGTACTCGTTGCTAAGCTCAAAACCTCAGGATGTCGGTCATTTGTTCGTCCATGACTTCTTGAGGCTTACGATGACATGGACCCGACCACGGCTGCGCTGGAAAAGGAACACGAAGCGGTATGTCTGATCTTATCTGCCTAATCACGTAAGCAGAAATGTGACCGTCACACTTTCGCAGATGACCAAAGTGAAGTATATCGATCGAGTACGGTTTGGCAAGTACGAGATGGACACGTGGTACTTTTCTCCGTATCCGGAAGAATACGGCAAGCAATCGAAGCTGTACATCTGTGAATTCTGTTTCAAGTATATGAAGTTCCAGCGCACCTACCTTTATCATACGGTGAGAACGATAGGTTCTGTTCATTACTGCTCCCTTGTTGGGAATGCTTCTGAAAACCCTGCCTCATTCCCTCGTACAGGGAGTTTCCGAACTAGCTACGGGTGGATATGAAAGATGACATGAGTGACTGAAGTGCTGTAAAGCGTATTTTCAACCGCTGCTATAAGAATAAGGTGTTTCTGTGGAGCGTGAAACAGTAGACCGTTACAGTCTTACGGAAATCTTCAAAGCCGTGCGTCTTCTTTCCGTTCTTGTGCAAGTCTTCTCCATTGTGACCTGTCGTATTGATATTGCAAAGGACTCTTTGCGGACCGGGGACGATCTCACAGAAGCACTTTTAAATTTTCATATATACCTTATGGTGATTATCTTCAACTATCATTCGGGCCAAGATGTGACTACACGGAAGCATCACACTGCTCCTCATAATCGCAGATCAGCGATCTTCTACCCGCTTTTAGGCTGGTCACTTCGTAGCAGAGGGTGAAATTCTTGATTTAGCTGTTAATAAGTGCATATTTACGTCTCTCGTTGCGTTTGAAACCGCTTTGTGACGTTGAAAATAGTCTACTACGGCGTTCAACCTCTTCGCTGTTCCCACTGAAAATGTGGATGCGTCGAATATTTGGCATAGTTTTCTCTAGGTATGTGATTTGTAGTTAGGAAATTACTACTGACAAATACTGTTAGGAATTGCATATAGTGTGGATAATTAATAAGAAGTTTCAAATTAAATGAAGATCTACGTCGTAATGGTGTATGCCCTGAAATAATGCTACTAATCAGAATAACAGTGTCAGCGACTCTTGACCTTTGGACAGCGGGCCTGAAGTTCATCGCTTACGATCGACTCACAGTCATAATGAGAAACGAAGTCTTAATGGAACTTGTAAAGCTTTGACTATACTGAAACGATGCGGGGGAAAACGGACCATGTGGCTTGACGTTTTGTTTGAGATCAACGAATCGTCGTTAGCAAGAGAGAATCGCACTGCGAACTCAACTCGTTCATAAGCCGTGCTGGTACGCTGGTAGACCGTCACAAAGCCTGAACAGATCTCACTAAAGTAAGCCTCGAACATCTAGACATAGGCGCGTAGAGAACGAGCTTCCTCTTGCCATACATTAAACAGTTATTTATCTCCCGAAATAATTTCTACAAAGAAGTTGGTTATAGGCTCGAGCTAGTCGATGGTCAGTGATGTTAAAATCTTGCGACCATACCAACTTCGTCTGAGAAATCATATCCGATTGCCTTCAGGCATCTGAACGCTCTTGAGGCATTTTGAAGCGACTAAAACAGTTTTAACCTGACATGAGAATCTCCGGCAGTTGTTGTTGGTGTGGTATGCTTTTCGTTCTTTCGCAGGCTTCTTCAGGCTCATGCAAAGTTGCACAACATTCTTAGCGAGTTGTTGTTCACGTAGCTGCGGATAACAGAGCAGTGGTTGTCTTTTCGCCTCACTGTTCTCTACAGCGAGAAACCACCAACCATACGGCTTCGTAATCTTCGCCGGTGTCATCAGCAGAGCCTTGATTTTAGTATGGTAGAATCTGATACCAGCTTGCACTTTCGATGGGTTTATGGTAATGTTAAATTAATTTTTTTATCAGTGTTAAAGCGCGGTGACCCGAAAACAGAAGTGAATGTAGTATTAAAGTAAGTGACTGTTAGCGTGACTTACATAAATGATGAATTAAGTAAAGTGACTAACTGCACGTTTGAATACCGTATTGAGCTTACATTCGTTGGACATCTACTGTGTATGGCTTTGCGTTGATGTGCAACACTATGTTTTTTCAGAAAGACTGTAATTGGAGGCATCCTCCGGGACCAAAGATTTACGCAAAAGATTCGATCGCTGTGTACGAAGTTAATGCTGAGGACCACAAGGTAAATCCCTCGTTGCCGAAAATCCGCCCAATCTTTTGCCACGTGTTCTTAAGTACGGTCGACTGTTCCAGGTATTCTGTCAGAATTTGTGTTTGCTTGCGAAACTGTTCTTGGACCACAAAACCCTGTACTTCGACGTAGGACCGTTCATGTTTTACATTCTGTGTGAAATCGACCGCCAAGGATCGCATATGGTTGGGTATTTTTCGAAGGTCTAATGCGAGAACCCCTGATTCGTCAGGTTGTGAACATACATTTGACTCAGATGTTGTCTTTCAGGAAAAGGTGTCGCCGGATGGCAACAATTTGGCGTGCATCATGATACTTCCACCGTATCAGCGTAAGGGTTACGGGAAGTTTTTGATAAATCTGAGTAAGCCAACCGTTTTGACTTACGTATAACATATTTTTTAATGAGTCAAAAACTGTGCGCTATGGGACTAACATGGATGCGTGGATTATTACCCTTTTCTTTGTCAGTGGCATGAACAAGTTCATAGGTAAGATTAGTCAACTGTCCTTATGAGATAATGGTGAAATTTAATTCAATGGCACAAACTGGTTACTATATAAGAAAGTTACGTAAGAATTGCTGTCCGATATGAATGTTAGATACATTTTTTGGTTGACTGTCTGGGGTATTTCAGTAACATAGCCCCTCTAAGAAAACAGTATTTTGATAGGAATGATAATGACGACGTCCGGATTCATGGTGAACATAATTGTAGTATCATCGGAACTGTTCACGGAGGCGACTAAATCAGTGAATCAGAGTGTAAGTGAGGATGATGAATAGTGTACGTCATAGCGCTGAGCCTTGTAAATACGTTTAAAGCACACTAGGTATTTTGTAGGCAGCGGATCTTCCTTTGCCTGCTGTTTCAAATGAGTAGAATTCTGAAGTGTACTCACAGATCCGGTATATGAGATCAGCATTATCACAGTCATTCTCAACAAGTTTCAGTATTCACTCCGTCGATGCCATATGAAAGGCCGCTATAAATGCAAGAGCAGTAGAATTGCAAGAACTACCACTAGCGTGTCTACAAAATGGGAAGTTTCGTTGCCCACTGTTTTATTCCATTCCAACGGTTGCTGTCATCGCTCACGGCTTTAGCCGCCACTCCGTATAACTTGACCTGCATCAGTTATTTGACTGTGAACCAGAGCTACATATTAGTGTAGAGCTCTAGAGCAGTGCGTGCGATGCTTTTGTCAACGTTGTCAGTTTTCACGATTCATTGTAGGGACTGAGTTAGGCCGTTGCGCCTGTGAACAGTGATTTGGCCGATAGTTGTAACAGCTGCTTTTTGGAGACATCTGTCTTAATCGCTTTTCTGCTTTCTTTCATTACATTTCATGTCGATAGGTATTTCTGTACAACCTTACGTAATCATCAGAAATCAATGCGAGCCTTGAAATTGACTATTGTAATGATAGTTGCATATTCTGCTCACAGCGAGTTTCTGTTGATATATAGCATTGTGTATTGGATAAAGTTTTTGATAGAGAGGTCACCACCTCATTATTATATAGATTGTGATTTTGGATTAAATGACTGTGCACTGAGAAGGGACCTTGTGGAACCAGCACGGTGCAATTAAAATGGAACAAAGGGCCGAAATTGGAGTTTGATAAGCTCACTGAATTCTCTTAGACAAGAACTGTCCATTTGTTTTCAGCAGCATAGGTGAATTTAAGAAATTGATGCAGAGGTCCTTCTGCCAATGATCCACACTGAATCTCGTGACCGAAGGTCTGCGATGACTTGATATCGCACAATGACCAAAGTAGAATCAGTTAGAAATTCAGAAGTGTAGTTGCAGCATCGTGAAAAGCTTGCCATTCATGTACGACATGATGAGCTAAGTGAAATTGTAGAAGCAGATAACGACCATCCAGTTATGCAGGTCTAAAACACTGATATCGACTAGCGGTCTCCGTTGGAACAGGTTTCTCCAGGGTTTCATAGACCATTGTGCCTACCAGCAAATCGATCGTATCGATGTTATGTTTTCCGTATACCAGCTGGTAAATTCAGTCCAGTTTTCGACAGTGGTGGAAATATTTTCGCATGTAGCAGATTCGACGGATTTATGGAGATATGGAGCAGGTCCACACGTTTCGTTAGTTTGAATCCATATTCATTAGCGGCTTAAGTTTTTAAGCGGATAATAAAAAAATGATCATCGAAAATACCCATACCCATCGAAAAATGGTAATCCAGTGTTGGCGTAAAGGTGGCTTATGATTACATAAATTATTGCGCAGTTCAATGGCCAGTACCAGTTATTGACATGACACACGAAGACGTCGTAATTATTTCAACACCTGATTACTGAAATTACCCTCCTTCTGAAAGTGGCCGATTCGCTTCGCGGGAGTTAGTTCCACACATTTGTTTAGTTTTTGAAATTAATATTGAGAATAACTACCGGATGGCTTACGGCTTTGCGATAATGATTCTATTACACTTATTATAGAAGGGTACTGATGGTGACTGTAAAGTTCGCTGTAGTTTGGTGTTTTCAGCCTTGAAACGGGCAGCATTTCGTTCGAAGAGCGGACAATGCTGATAGTATAGACTTCTTATGTGATTTTGCCGGTACTACGAAACGGGAAAACTTATTTTGACGGTGTCTCATGTGGGCTCCTTATGGCACTGCGATTCGCCATGACCCACATTGTACCTGATATTGTAGTACGATAATTAGCAGATTGTGTACACTATATTTTGTAGTTTACGTAAACAAGTATTGTATGCAAATGACAAACTCAAGTTTCTAGGTTTACGTCTGCAGGTCTAACTCGTTGGTACGTATTTCAACTCAATTTATTAGGTTACGAACTGTCGAAACTTGAACACCGAATTGGATCTCCCGAAAAACCGTTGTCAGACTTAGGAAAACTCACCTACCGAAGTTACTGGAGTTGGGCACTGTTAGACGTTTTGCGCGAGACTAAAGATACAATGTCGATCAGGGATCTCAGGTAAGGAAGGATTTTTTCTGCGATTTCCGCTTTTTGCCACTCTGCATCGTCTTACCGTTTCATTCAGTGAGGTGACTGGTATAGCCCACTGTGACATTGTCGACACGTTGCAATGGCTGAACATGGCGAAATACTGGAAAGGTAGGTACGTGCTGTACCTGACACCTAAGCTGATCGACGATTGCCTTCGAAGCGAGCTATTCAAGCGGCCGGTTCTGACTGTCGACAAGGA